GGACAGGCTCAGTGTTGGTGGGGTGAGCTGGGACAGGCTCAGTGATGGCGGGGTGAGCTGGGACAGGCTCAGTGATGGTGGGGTGAGCTAGGACATGCTCAGTGATGGTGGGGTGAGCTAGGACAGGCTCAGTGTTGGTGGGGTGAGCTGGGACAGGCTCAGTGATGGCGGGGTGAGCTGGGACAGGCTCAGTGATGGCGGGGTGAGCTAGAACAGGCTCAGTGATAATAGGGTGAGCTGGGACATGCTGAGTGATGGTGGGGTGAGCTAGGACATGCTGAGTGATGGTGGGGTGAGCTAGGACATGCTGAGTGTTGGTGGGGTGAGCTAGGACATGCTGAGTGATGGTGGGGTGAGCTAGGACATGCTGAGTGATGGTGGGGTGAGCTAGGACATGCTGAGTGATGGTGGGGTGAGCTAGGACAGGCTCAGTGATGGTGGGGTGAGCTAGGACATGCTGAGTGATGGCGGGGTGAGCTAGGACATGCTGAGTGATGGTGGGGTGAGCTAGGACATGCTGAGTGATGGTGGGGTGAGCTAGGACATGCTGAGTGATGGTGGGGTGAGCTAGGACATGCTGAGTGATGGTGGGGTGAGCTAGGACATGCTGAGTGATGGTGGTGTGAGCTAGGACAGGCTCAGTGATGGTGGTGTGAGCTAGGACAGGCTTAGTGATGGCGGGGTGAGTTGGGACAAGGTCAGTGATGGCGGGGTGAGCTGGGACAGGGTCAGTGATGGCGGGGTGAGCTAGGACAGGCTCAGTGATGGTGGGGTGAGCTAGGACAGGCTCAGTGATGGTGGTGTGAGCTAGGACAGGCTCAGTGAAGGCGGGGTGAGCTGGGACAGGCTCAGTGATGGTGGGATGAGCTAGGACATGCTAAGTGATGGTGGGGTGAGCTAGGACATGCTGAGTGATGGTGGGGTGAGCTAGGGCAGGCTCAGTGATGGTGGGGTGAGCTGGGACAGGCTCAGTGATTGTGGGGTGAGCTAGGACATGCTGAGTGATGGTGGGGTGAGCTAGGACATGCTGAGTGTTGGTAGGGTGAGCTAGGACATGCTGAGTGATAGTGGGGTGAGCTAGGACATGCTGAGTGATAGTGGGGTGAGCTAGGACTTGCTGAGTGATGGTGGGGTGAGCTAGGACATGCTGAGTGATGGTGGGGTGAGCTAGGACATGCTGAGTGATCTCGGGGTGAGCTAGGATATGCTGAGTGATGGTGGGGTGAGCTAGGACAAGCTGAGTGATGGTGGGGTGAGCTTGGGCATGCTGAGTGATGGTGGGGTGAGCTTGGGCATGCTGAGTGATGGTGGGGTGAGCTAGGACATGCTGAGTGATGGTGGGGTGAGCTAGGACATGCTGAGTGATGGTGGGGTGAGCTAGGACATGCTCAGTGATGGCGGGGTGAGCTAGGACATGCTGAGTGATGGTGGGGTAAGCTAGGACATGCTGAGTGTTGGTGGGGTGAGCTAGGACATGCTGAGTGATGGTGGGGTGAGCTAGGACATGCTGAGTGTTGGTGGGGTGAGCTAGGACATGCTCAGTGATGGTGAGGTGAGCTAGGACATGCTGAGTTTTGGCGGGGTGAGCTAGGACATGCTGAGTGATGGTGGGGTGAGCTAGGACATGCTGAGTGTTGGTGGGGTGAGCTAGGACATGCTCAGTGATGGTGGGGTGAGCTAGGACATGCTCAGTGATGGTGGGGTGAGCTAGGACATGCTGAGTGATGGCGGGGTGAGCTAGGACATGCTCAGTGATGGTGGGGTGAGCTAGGACATGCTGAGTGATGGTGGGGTGAGCTAGGACATGCTGAGTGATGGTGGGGTGAGTTAGGACAGGCTCAGTGATGGTGGGGTGAGCTAGGACATGCTGAGTGATGGCGGGGTGAGCTAGGACATGCTCAGTGATGGTGGGGTGAGCTAGGACATGCTCAGTGATGGTGGGGTGAGCTAGGACATGCTGAGTGATGGCGGGGTGAGCTAGGACATGCTCAGTGATGGTGGGGTGAGCTTGGACATGCTCAGTGATGGTGGGGTGAGCTAGGACATGCTGAGTGATGGTGGGGTGAGCTAGGACATGCTGAGTGATGGTGGGGTGAGCTAGGACATGCTGAGTGATGGCGGGGTGAGCTAGGACATGCTCAGTGATGGTGGGGTGAGCTAGGACATGCTCAGTGATGGTGGGATGAGCTAGGACAGGCTCAGTGATGGTGGGGTGAGCTGGGACAGGCTCAGTGATGGCGGGGTGAGCTGGGACAGGCTCAGTGATGGGGGGTGAGCTAGGACAGGCTCAGTGATAATGGGGTCAGCTAGGACATGCTGAGTGATGGTGGGGTGAGCTAGGACATGCTGAGTGATTGTGGGGTGAGCTAGGACATGCTGAGTGATGGTGGGGTGAGCTAGGACATGCTGAGTGATGGTGGGGTGAGCTAGGACATGCTGAGTGATGGTGGGGTAAGCTAGGACATGCTGAGTGTTGGTGGGGTGAGCTAGGACATGCTGAGTGATGGTGGGGTGAGCTAGGACATGCTGAGTGTTGGTGGGGTGAGCTAGGACATGCTCAGTGATGGTGGGGTGAGCTAGGACATGCTGAGTTTTGGCGGGGTGAGCTAGGACATGCTGAGTGATGGTGGGGTGAGCTAGGACATGCTGAGTGTTGGTGGGGTGAGCTAGGACATGCTCAGTGATGGTGGGGTGAGCTAGGACATGCTCAGTGATGGTGGGGTGAGCTAGGACATGCTGAGTGATGGCGGGGTGAGCTAGGACATGCTCAGTGATGGTGGGGTGAGCTAGGACATGCTGAGTGATGGTGGGGTGAGCTAGGACATGCTGAGTGATGGTGGGGTGAGTTAGGACAGGCTCAGTGATGGTGGGGTGAGCTAGGACATGCTGAGTGATGGCGGGGTGAGCTAGGACATGCTCAGTGATGGTGGGGTGAGCTAGGACATGCTCAGTGATGGTGGGGTGAGCTAGGACATGCTGAGTGATGGCGGGGTGAGCTAGGACATGCTCAGTGATGGTGGGGTGAGCTTGGACATGCTCAGTGATGGTGGGGTGAGCTAGGACATGCTGAGTGATGGTGGGGTGAGCTAGGACATGCTGAGTGATGGTGGGGTGAGCTAGGACATGCTGAGTGATGGCGGGGTGAGCTAGGACATGCTCAGTGATGGTGGGGTGAGCTAGGACATGCTCAGTGATGGTGGGATGAGCTAGGACAGGCTCAGTGATGGTGGGGTGAGCTGGGACAGGCTCAGTGATGGCGGGGTGAGCTGGGACAGGCTCAGTGATGGGGGGTGAGCTAGGACAGGCTCAGTGATAATGGGGTCAGCTAGGACATGCTGAGTGATGGTGGGGTGAGCTAGGACATGCTGAGTGATTGTGGGGTGAGCTAGGACATGCTGAGTGATGATGGGGTGAGCTAGGACATGCTGAGTGATGGTGGGGTGAGCTAGGACATGCTGAGTGTTGGTGGGGTGAGCTAGGACATGCTGAGTGATGGTGGGGTGAGCTAGGACAGGCTCAGTGATGGCGGGGTGAGCTGGGACAGGCTCAGTGATGGTGGGGTGAGCTAGGACATGCTGAGTGATGGTGGGGTGAGCTAGGACATGCTGAGTGATGGTGGGGTGAGCTAGTACATGCTGAGTGATGGTGGGGTGTGCTAGGACAGGCTCAGTGATGGTGGGGTGAGCTAGGACATGCTGAGTGATGGTGGGGTGAGCTAGGACATGCTGAGTGATGGTGGGGTGAGCTAGGACATGCTCAGTGATGGTGGTGTGAGCTAGGACATGCTGAGTGATGGTGGGGTGAGCTAGGACATGCTGAGTGATGGTGGGGTGAGCTGGGACATGCTGAGTGATGGTGGTGTGAGCTAGGACATGTTGAGTGATGGTGGGGTGAGCTAGGACATGCTGAGTAATGGTGGGGTGAGCTAGGACATGCTGAGTGATGGTGGGGTGAGCTAGGACATGCTGAGTGATGGTGGGGTGAGCTAGGACATGCTGAGTGATGGTGGTGTGAGCTAGGACAGGCTCAGTGATGGTGGTGTGAGCTAGGACAGGCTCAGTGAAGGCGGGGTCAGTTGGGACAGGGTCAGTGATGGCGGGGTGAGCTAGGACAGGCTCAGTGATGGTGGGGTGAGCTAGGACAGGCTCAGTGATGGTGGGGTGAGCTAGGACAGGCTCAGTGATGGTGGTGTGAGCTAGGACAGGCTCAGTGATGGCGGGGTGAGCTGGGACAGGCTCAGTGATGGCGGGGTGAGCTAGGACAGGCTCAGTGATGGCGGGGTGAGCTGGGACAGGCTCAGTGATGGTGGGGTGAGCTAGGACATGCTGAGTGATGGTGGGGTGAGCTAGGACATGCTGAGTGATGGTGGGGTGAGCTAGGACAGGCTCAGTGATGGTGGGGTGAGCTGGGACAGGCTCAGTGATGGTAGGGTGAGCTAGGACATGCTGAGTGATGGTGGGGTGAGCTGGGACAGGCTCAGTGATGGCGGGGTGAGCTGGGACATGCTCAGTGATGGCGGGGTGAGCTGGGACAGGCTCAGTGATGGCGGGGTGAGCTAGGACAGGCTCAGTGATGGCGGGGTGAGCTGGGACAGGCTCAGTGATGGTGGGGTGAGCTAGGACATGCTGAGTGATGGTGGGGTGAGCTGGGACATGCTCAGTGATGGTGGGGTGAGCTGGGACAGGCTCAGTGATGGTGGGGTGAGCTGGGACAGGCTCAGTGATGGTGGGGTGAGCTAGGACAGGCTCAGTGATGGCGGGGTGAGCAGGGACATGCTGAGTGATGGTGGGGTGAGCTAGGACATGCTGAGTGATGGTGGGGTGAGCTAGGACATGCTGAGTGATGGTGAGGTGAGCTGGGACATGCTGAGTGATGGTGGGGTGAGCTGGGACAGGCTCAGTGATGGTGGGGTGAGCTAGGACAGGGTCGGTGGTGGTAGTGATGGTGAACAAGGAGAGTATGGGTTAATAAGAGTAATGATTGTGTTGTGTGGCCAACAGGAACATCTCGTGTCACCATGTGGTACAGTTGCTGGGTGTAGTGGGGGACTACTCTCCCGTCTACGTGGTGATGGAGCTCATGCACGAGGGTGACCTCAAGACCTTCTTGAAGAAGCGCCCACCAAACTTTCTGACCGGCCAGGTAAGCCCACCCCTTCGGCAGACCACCTTAGCTTCAGGAATATTTAGTACATGCATTTTTGATCATACATTCTTTGCATGAAATAAAATGAAAGTGTAATATGAGGTTCTCACAATATATATATGACGCATACTAATACATAACCATGAAACACAAAAATGCTAAGCAATCCAGATTATTTGTAAATATGGTTCAATATTGTGGTTAATATATGCTGCTACAAACGTAATAATATATTGTGATGAAGTTTTAAAAGCTATAGTTATTCTGTTTAAAGACATTTTCAGTTCCATTACCATATATCTGCTACCTCAGGGCAGTATTGTATTCAAATATCCAAATAAAATTAGACAATCTTTTTAATTAATGTATAAATATTTAAATACTAGCTGTACCCGGCCACGCGTTGCTGTGGCTTACAATGCATATGCGTTGCTGAGCCTCAGCAACCTTTCCCTGTTCCCCAGTCCTTCCCACCATTCTCCTCTATCCCGTCTTCTTGTCCTCCCCCACCATCCCCCCCTCCTCCATCCCCTCGTCCTCCCCACCATCTACCATTCTCCTGTCCCCTCGTCTTCCCTACCATTCCCCCTCACTTGTTCCCTTCTCCTCCCCACCATTCCCCCCTCCCCTATCCCCTCGTCCTCCCCACCATCCCCCACAGCAGCCCCCTCCCCCCTCGTCTTTCCCACCATTCCCCACTCCCTTGTCCGATGCCTTCCCAAATAATTTGATATTCCCATCAGAGAGTTGGAAACATCAAATAATCTGATGTTCCCATCACTGAAAAATAAGAACAGTTAAAAAACGAAATAAAAAATGAAAAATAAAAAATAAACTATACTCACGAAATGTGTTTGCATGTTTGCTGTGTATGGTAAGCAACACAGCTCAATTCAAGCGCAATGTCACACAAAATAATTAAAGCAAAATGGAAATAAGTCCAAATCTATGAAAATTTAATTTATCAATGTAGTCAGAAACATTGAAATGGAATCGTAACATATTTAGTATAGCGTGTGTTGCTCTTACTTGCAATACATGGTGCTTTAAACAAAAAAAAAAAAAAAATTTCTTGTCAAACGTGTGGCATCTATATTAATACTCATGAAACGAACAGTATGGTATACAACACAGCTCATAATCAGCTCGTAATAAGTTATTACGAAACGCGTTCAAGTGCCGCGTCAGACTAGAAATAAAAATGAATTTTGGAGAATTGATTTATCAATTACCATCAACAGTGAAAAGAAACATAAGAAATATTGAGAAAATTCGTGTTAGAATTATTAATCTTACTTTTTCGGTCATATTTAATAATATATATATATATATATATATATATATATATATATATATATATATATATATATATATATATATATGACTGAAAACTCACACCCCAGAAGTGACTCGAACCCATACTCCCAGGAGCAACGCAACTGGTAACTACAGGGCGCCTTAATCCACTTGACCATCACGGCCGGACAAAAGGAAGTGGTAGCCGAAGCTATTTGAACCACTTCCCCGCCGGCAACTCGGATGGTTATCTTGGGCATAGCATTTTACCAAATCACCTCATTCTTTGGGGCACACGTGAGGAACACAAATGCGAACAAGCCTGAATGGTCCCCAGGACTATATGCGACTGAAAACTCACACCCCAGAAGTGACTCGAACCCAGAACCTGGAGTTCTCCCAGCAGTGTGGAGAACCTGGAGTTCTCCCAGCAGTGTGGAGAACCTGGAGTTCTCCCAGCAGTGTGGAGAACCTGGAGTTCTCCCAGCAGTGTGGAGAACCTGGAGTTCTCCCAGCAGTGTGGACAACCTGGAGTTCTCCCAGCAGTGTGGACAACCTGGAGTTCTCCCAGCAGTGTGGAGAACCTGGAGTTCTCCCAGCAGTGTGGACAACCTGGAGTTCTCCCAGCAGTGTGACTTTTATGAGAGATTCCATATAAAAACATCATGAAGAGGACAACTTACGCCAGCTGCCAAAATTCCGCTGCCAGCTGCCAGCGGAAATAAAAAAAAATACATCAGAGAACTGTGCATCATGTGTGCAGCCGACGATAGCGGGAAGAAAATATACCAAATTGATAATGACATGAACAAATTAATTGTAGATTGGAAGACTTGTGGAGATGCTGGTCTACAAGGAACACGGGAAGACTTGTAGTGATGCTGGTCTGCAAGGAACACGGGAAGACTTGTAGTGATGCTGGTCTACAAGGAACACGGGAAGACTTGTAGTGATGCTGGTCTACAAGGAGCACGGGAAGACTTGTAGTGAAGCTGGTCTACAAGGAACACGGGAAGACTTGTAGTGATGCTGGTCTACAAGAAACATGGGAAGACTTGTAGTGATGCTGGTCTACAAGGAGCACAGGAAGACTTGTAGTGATGCTGGTCTACAAGGAGCACAGGAAGACTTGTAGTGATGCTGGTCTACAAGGAGCAAGGGAAGACTTGTAGTGATGCTGGTCTACAAGGAGCACAGGAAGACTTGTAGTGATGCTGGTCTACAAGGAACACGGGAAGACTTGTAGTGATGCTGGTCTACAAGGAACACGGGAAGACTTGTAGTGATGCTGATCTACAAGGAACACGGGAAGACTTGTGGTGATGCTGGTCTACAAGGAGCACGGGAAGACTTGTAGTGATGCTGGTCTACAAGGAGCACAGGAAGACTTGTAGTGATGCTGGTCTACAAGGAACACGGGAAGACTTGTAGTGATGCTGGTCTACAAGGAACACGGGAAGACTTGTGGTGATGCTGGTCTACAAGGAGCAAGGGAAGACTTGTGGTGATGCTGGTCTACAAGGAACACGGGAAGACTTGTGGTGATGCTGGTCTGCAAGGAACACGGGAAGACTTGTAGTGATGCTGGTCTACAAGGAACACGGGAAGACTTGTAGTGATGCTGGTCTACAAGGAACACGGGAAGACTTGTAGTGATGCTGGTCTACAAGGAACACGGGAAGACTTGTGGTGATGCTGGTCTACAAGGAACACGGGAAGACTTGTGGTGATGCTGGTCTACAAGGAACACGGGAAGACTTGTAGTGATGCTGGTCTACAAGGAACACGGGAAGACTTGTAGTGATGCTGGTCTACAAGGAACACGGGAAGACTTGTGGTGATGCTGGTCTACAAGGAACACGGGAAGACTTGTGGTGATGCTGGTCTACAAGGAACACGGGAAGACTTGTGGTGATGCTGGTCTACAAGGAACACGGGAAGACTTGTGGTGATGCTGGTCTACAAGGGACACGGGAAGGAGACGTGGTTTATCATCTGGACGACTATAAAAAATATTGTTTAAAGGCAAAGAGTAAGAGTAAAAATAAAACACTGTTGAATGCAGTTTACCTGTTAAGAAAAGTGACGTTGAACATTTGGTAAGAAGAGACTAGGCCGTAACATGAAGGTTAATTGTGGCATCAGAAGGTCAAATGCGATTTGAAACTGTTAAGGATGTGTCAAGTTGAGGAAGGCTTATTCAGATTCATAGCACATACATGATTGATCGAGAAAAACAGTGTGCACATCGCAGAGTTGATGCAACGAGAATGTGGAGGAAAACACTCTGGCTGGGAATGGACGGAGGAACCACACAAGGGGCAAATAGATACCTCGCCTCTTCACTTCCAGTCTCTGTCCGAATTTCCAGCTCCTACTGTAGAGGTATGGAGTGGGAACGTATTATTGAACTGAGAATCTTGCACCAGCTAGAATTTCCGAGGAGAGGAGGTTCTATCAAAAGTGTCTAACAGCTCTAAGGGATTGACAATGACGTTCTCCAGGAGGGGTCGAGTATCAACCTGCAGGATAGGATAACCTTGGGCATCGAGGATATATTTAATATCTTCATGGTAGTCTTTAAGTCACGTATTCCCAGTCGTAACACAGGAGGGGAGGATGACGGTGCCGATGCTAACATTGAATTAGACATTTTTGCAGACTTGAATCGGGGAGGTCTGACAATAAGGGAGAGAGCAGCTAGACAGGCAGCAACCCATTACAAGGGCCTCAACAACACTTGCCACGCTAGTCTGGGTTGTATTAAAAGTAATATGTATTAACGAGTCAACAAGGTGTTTATATATGTGTAAATCATCAGGACGGGTAAGGCCATAATGAGAATCAAAATATCAAGGCCACGTAGTGGGACACGACAGATCAAGGGACGCTGTAGCAGTTAAGAGAACACGTGTGGTTGACTGCGAGGACTGTGCTGTGGTCCACCAGTAAGGAGGAGGCAAAGGTCGCAGTTATAACAACCAAAAATGGAGTCAGTCAAGGTGACGAGGCAGTCACCACGAGGGACTTGGGAGCTGACCCTGCCAAAGAAGTGGCTGGCGAATGGAAAGGATCAGCAGAGTGAAGCCAAGACAAGGCAGGTCTGGGCCCAACGTAACTGGAGATATGGAGTCTGATCGACCATCACAGCCTGACTCGGGTGCCTTGGTTGCCCGTCACACAAGCCTCAGTTTGAGAAGTTCATTTACCACATGCATTCTGTTTAATAAAGTTTGGGCCTGGAGCCAAGGGATACCACCCACTAGGGTATCGAGGGAGGCCGAGGGCTGGACGGTGCAGGAAGAGGGTGCATCGTCCTAAAAAAGTGCTTCTCCATTTTTAACAGTGAAGTCCTATTATTTTGAACATTCTCCAGCAATTAAGAGAAGACCGTTTTCTCCCTCTTGGTCCAGCCCGATCACCCAAACCTGCTCTGAGAGTGGCCCCTCATAGGTGACGTCTCCAGTGGGTGATCAGTGATCTGAACAGGCACCCTACATGGTTAGGTGAATGTACAAGAAACCATGTCGAGCGCAGTGAGTCACAGTGAGAGGGTGTGTTATCTTGAGCTCCAATTGTCTTCATATAGAAAATGGAAGTTGTAGAGAGTGAACTGGGGCTCGTGAGGGAGCTGTGTGAAGCTCTGAGGGCAGAGATGGATTCCCTGTGGGAGTATCTGCGACAAATGCAGGAGCTAAGAC